ATCCTCCCATTTCTGCCTCTGGAGTAGCTGAGGCTCTGGGGATCTTTCTGTTTTTGTTTTTGTTTTTTCCCTAGCCCCACTTTGAGTTTGTTTCCACAGTACATTGAGTTACTATTGTTTTGTTTTGTTTTCTCTCTCATGTGCCTTCCTGCACACTGAAGTTGCTGTTTTAAATTTCTTTCTACTTTCGTGTGTGTGTGTGTGCGCGTGTGTGTGTATGTGTACATATATATATATTTTTAAATGAGGTCTTCTCAGTCACCCAGGCTGAAGTGCAGGTGTGTGATCACAGCTCACTGCAGCCTGGACCTCCGTGGGCTCAGGGGATCGTCCCATCTCAGCTCCCTGGGTAGCTGGTACTACAGTCACGCACCACCACGGTGGCTCTTTGTTTTGCATTTTTTGCTTTTTATTTTTATGGAGATGAGATGAGGTTCTGCCATGTTTCTCAGGCTGGTCTCGAACTCCTGTGCTCAAACAATCCACCAGCTTTGACCTCCCAAAGTGCTGGGATTACAGGCATGAGCCATCCTGCCTGACTGGCTGGCTATCTATCTATCATCTATCTCTGTCTGTCCAGCTCTGTCTGTCTATCTGGCTGGCTCTTATCTATCTATCTATCTATCATCTTTTTTTTTTTTTTTTTTTTTGCCTCACCCTTCCACTCCCCTCCCGGCCTCTGGTAGCCATCATTTTACTCTCTATCATCTTTTTTTTTTTTTTTTTTTTTTTGAGACAGAGTCTCACACTGTCACCCAGGCTGGAGTGCAGTGGCATGATCTCAGCTTACTGCAACCTCTGCCTTCTAGGTTCAAGTGATTCTCCTGCCTCAGCCTCCCGAGTAGCTGGGACTACAGGAGCACACCACCACACCCAGCTAATTTTTGTGTTTTTAGTAGAGATGGGGTTTCACAATGTTGGCCAGGATGGACTCGATCTCTTGACCTCGTGATCCGCCTGCCTCGGCCTCCCAAAGTACTGGGATTACAGGCATGAGCCACTGGCACCCAGCCTCTATCATCTTTTTAGTAGAGATGTGATCTTGCTATGTTGTCCATGCTTTGGATATATATTTCTTTTTTAACTTTAATTATTATTTTTTAATAGAGACGTTGTCTCACCATGTTGTCCCTGGATAGTCTTGAACTCCTGGGTTCCAGGTATCCTCCGTGGCCTCCCAAAGTGCTGAGATTACAGGTGTGAGCCAGCATGCACGGTCTGGTCATGTTTTTGATGTGTTGATTCTTTCCAGTCCGGATGCATAATCTCATGTCTGAACGTTACTGCTGGTGTGATTATGTTATATGACTTAGCCCAGCACCAGAGTGATCACTGGTCTCAGCAATCAGGGGATTTGTTTTTTTTGCCTGGTCCTCACCCACAGAGAACATTGTAACATATCCCTGGTCTCAGCACTCAGGTGATGTGACTCTTCTGACTGTATTCTGCTTTCAGGAGGGGATTGTAGCATATTCCTAATTGAGCACCAAGGTGATGTGACACTGCTGCCTGGTCCCTGCCCTCAGAGAAGATTGTGACATATCACTGCCCCAGAACTCAGGTGATGTGAGTCTACTGGTCCATCCCTATTCACTGCTGGGATTGTGATGCCTTTCTTGGCCCAGCTTACAGGTGCAATGATCACTTTCTTTTTTTGAGACGGAGTTTCGCTCTTGTTGCCCAGGCTGGAGTGCAATGGCACGATCTTGGCTCACCACAACTTCCACCTCCTGGGTTCAAGCGATTCTCCTGTCTCAGCCTCCTGAGTAGCTGGGATTACAGGCATGCACCACCACACCCGGCTAATTTTATATTTTTAGTAGAGAAGGGGTTTCTTCATGTTGGGCAGGCTGGTCTCGAACTCCCGACCTCAGGTGATCCACCCGCCTCGGCCTCCCAAAATGCAGGGATTACAGACGTGAGTCACCACGCCCGGCCTCTATGATCACTTTCGTACCTTGAAACAACCAATAGCAGATACACTGTCTCTCACAGCCAGAGTTAGGAAAATGAGTGGTATCTTGGATCTCCTCTTGGTATGAAAGTCACAGAGAATCACCACTCTATCACACACTGTGTAAAGTTGTCAAAAGGTACAGCGGATGTCCTGACAGAACTCAGCACACAGGTGAGGTTGTGACACTCATATGTATGACCTGCCGACAGTAAATATTTCATCCTTCCACATAAACACAGCTCACAATCGAGGTTCTGAATGTCACACCCAGAGGCAGTCAAATGTTGGAAAATGGAATCTCATATGTGAATTCGGTCCACACGGGAGTTGGCATCTTTCAGACCAAGATTCGGCACACCTGTGAGTCTGTGACTCCACTAAGGGGACACAGTTTGCAGGAGGGATTGAGGTTCTCATACATGGATCCAGACCATCATTGAGATTGCGACTCATTTACTTAGACTCAACATACAGGAAGTGTTAGATCTCATACCTGGAACTAGAAAATGTGTGGAACTATTAATCTCATGCTTTGACCTTCATGCAGGCGTGATTGTGACATACACCTCTGCCCAGCACCTCAGTGATTTGACTCTTCTGCCTGGGCCCAGCGTACAGATGGGATTGTGCCATATTGCTGGACCCAGCACTTAGGTGATGTGAGTCTGTTCTCTTGCCTTTAGTGCTTTTCACAGAGGGTGTTGAGACATCACTGGGCCTAGTGCCCTGGTGATGTGACTTTCCTCTACTTCCTGGGCTTTTCCCAAGAAGTTGCAATATATTGCTGCGACCAGAACCTAGGTAATGTGACTCTTCTCTCCTGCCTGGTTCCTCTTGCACATATTGTGACATGTGGCTGGTCCTGACACCTTGGCGATGTGAATCTCCTGTGTGGGCCCTGCCCACAGAGGTATTACAACATATATTTTCACTCATCATCTAGGTGATATAATTCTCCTCTTCTGCCTGGCCCTGCCGAAAAGTGGAAGGTTGTAGCAAATCACTGAACCCAGCACCTAGGGGATGTGACTCTCTTGTTTGGCCTGGGCCTCTCATGTTTTGGGTATTGTAAAATATCACTAGGCCCACCACCGATGGGATTGCTTGCTCCTACCTTGACTCTGCCCATAGGTACCTTGTGACATGTATCTGCATCCATGACCTAGAAGATGTGACATTTATTTTTTGCCTGCACCCTGCCCTGCACAGGAATGATTGTGACATATCCTTGAAACGAGACACCAGGTGATATGGCTCTTCTGCTTCTGTCTTGCCCACAGGGAGCATTGTAACATAGTGCTGAGCTCAGCACCCAGGTGATGTGACTGTTCCTTGTGCTGTGCTTTCAGGACAGAATTGTATCCCTGGCTGAGCACCCAGGTGAGGTGACACTCCTGCTTGGCTTCCTTCCTCAGAGAAGACTGTGAGATCCTTGGCTGAAATCCAGGTGATGTGACTCCCCTGCTAGCTCCCTTCCTATAAGTACAGTTGAGACATGCTGTGGTCAGCTTACAAGTGTGATGATGACTCTCATGCCTCAAGTCAGCTGTTAGAAGAAATACTGGCCAGGCACAGTGGGGACTATAATCCCATCACTTTCGGAGGCTGAGGCGGGCAGATCACCTGGGGTCAGGAGTTTGAGACCAGCCTGACCAACATGGAGAAACACCGTCTCTACTAAAAATACAAAAAAAATTAGCCAGGTGTAGTGGCTCATGCCTGTAATTCCAGCTACTCGGGAGGCTGAGGCAGGAGAGTCGCTTGAACTCGGGAGGCGGAGGTTGAGGTGAGTGGAGATCACACCATTGCACTCCAGCCTGGGCAACAAGAGCGAAACTCTTATCTCAAAAAAAAAAGAGGAAGAAATACTGTCTTTCATAGCTCAGAAAAATGAGTGACATCCTGGGTCTTCTCTGTATGAAGGTTATGAAAGATTGCCACACCCTCACACGTGGTATAATGCCCTCAAGTGTTAGAGTATGTCATCACAGGGCACAGCACACAGGCGAGATTGTTTCTCACGTGCACACCTCACCAACCATTAATATTATCACCCTCACACATGGAAAGAGCATGCTGCTGAGGTCTTGAATCTCACATGCAAACAGTCCACAGTTAGAATTGTGTCTGTCATATATGAGCATCCAGCCACAGTTGGGATGGTGACACATTTCTAAACTCAAATCACAGGCAGATGAGGACTCTACTATTTGGACCCAGCCAAATGGAGAAATGTTGACTCTCACACCTGGGCTTAGGGCCACAGGTATGGTCATGGGTGCATATAAACATGAAGGGGTCAGTGAATTGTGACCCACATTCATACTACATAAAGCCCTTGGATAGTATAGAGAGTGTATTAACAAGGCCCAGCACACAGGGGAGATTGCGACAGTTGTATGCACACGCACCCAACAGTATATACATCATCATTTCCCCACATGAACACAGCCCACTTTTGGGGTTCTGAATCTCACAACTATAAGCAGTCAAAGACTGGAAACTTGACTCTCGTGTGGATTCAGTCCACAGGTGGGTTGGTGACATTCAGAGCAAGATTCAGCACATCTCTGAGGCTGTGACTTTACTGTTAAACGTGGCGTGCAGGAGGCGTTGAGGCTCTCTTGCACAAATTCAGTCCACCGTTGAGATTGTAACCCCTGTTCTTAGACACAACATATAGGAGGTTAACACCGGGACATGTGTGGGATTGTTAATGTCATCCCTGGACCTTCCTGCAGATTTAATTGTGACATTTTTCACCTTTTTTTTTTTTTTTTTT